TTTCAATTTTTTATTTTATTTTATATATATATATTTTAATTAAATTTATTTGAAATAAGACCGAGTCCTGGTATTAGGATTAATAATATAATTAAAGTACTCAAATCTTATCGATCTTATTACATAATATTTTCATATATAATAATAAAACCGTTCTTAATTGCTTCTGTAATAATTTTGTAATAACATATAAGTCACGCAATACGTTGGGTAATAAAATTTTCATTCGAAAAATAGTAAAATCTCCGTAAAAATAAACTGATAATTGGAAAAAATACAATGAGTCAAACATACAAAGGGGTATGACAAGTTAATATCTTCTCTTTCGCGATTCTTTATCTCAAAATCTGAGAATCATAAGGTTGCGTACAACACTTCCCAGCAAACAATTATCGGTCGAATAATTATGCCAAGTCATAATTGAATTGTACGCAATGACGTACAATTGAACCAAAGTAATAATATTATACATGCGAATGCCGGCCTTGCATTGTTACTTAGGTGTGTAGTAGCGATGTAAAAGAACAACGTACTATTGTTTTCTCGAAGATTTCTTTGATTGCAATCTCATTTGATATTGATGCGGCCATGCTAATCGCTTGAATACGAAATTCAATGTGAGTTTCTAAGTGTTCTAACTGTCTTCCTGCCATTGTAATATGTATATTGAAAACGGGATTTAAAGTGAGAGCTCAAATTATTGAGAGTATAATGAAAGTATTGTCGATTGATTCTTCTTTTTTTTTTACATATAAATTTTTAGATATAAACTTTCACGTTTTAGATATAAATCTTCTCTATTGCTATAAAATCAGTTTTCGAGACTTCTATAAAAATTTTCTTTAAAAAAATATAATAACTAATTAATGTTTATTTATTTTAAATAGAAATAAGATTATAATAATAATATTGTTTCCGCCTTTCTCTTGATTTTTACATGAAGTTAGTACCGTGTAAAAAATGTAATATCTTCTAATGATATCAATGTACAACAAATTATCATAAGTTATTAATTAAAAAACCATTTAGCATTTATATAATAGTTATATACATGTCATAATAAACAAAAAAAAACCTTAATAAACATAGTTTAACCGTTTTGAAGATATAAACGATTTTATATGTTAGTATTATAATTGACTTATTATCTCTTCTATATCATCTTCTATATTATCTCTTCTATATCATTGCATATGACGTGAAAAGAGAAAAATTGAGATAAGTAGAATTGATAGTCTATTTGGAAGAATTACAAATCTCCCATAATCGTCCATCCAATTATGATAGCTGATTGATGTCAACTAGACTCCCGGTGAAATTTTTTATTATAAAGCTTATATAAAAATTGAATTAGAACATTCGTAGTCCGTAAACATTAAGGTAAATCTTCACGTCATATACAATGATAGAAACCAATAAGCCAGTTATGATACTAAAACGTACAAAATTATTTACATCTTAAAAACGTTGAGTTTCAGACTCATGTTTACTTAAAATTTTTTTTACTCAATATGATGTATAATATATAATGTACACTACAATATAATGCTAAATGTTTTTTTAACACCCTGTATAACAATTTCTTTATTAATAAGAAATTATCAAAATATTATCTTTAAAACAAGATGACGTTATATTAATTATTATAACTTTGTGCAGTTTCAATATAATCATTTAGTTCTATTCTGCCTTTCAAATATTCGCTATTTTGTAATATTTAATTGTGGTATATTGTTAAAATATTAAAAATAGGAAAATAGACTACATTTACGTATGGAAACATGCATTTTCTTATTACAAACTCTTAACTCGAGTGTAAATATTGAGTTTAAGCAAATTATATTTTTTACATTCTACATACTCATATGTCTGTAACGATGATGCCTTCAAAAGTACGATTCTATTTGTATATAATATATTATTTAACTTCTATTTTTAAGAATTATTAATATTACTTTCGAAGATTTCTTTATGTTTTTATATATAACATTACTTGTTATTTTGATAAGACTTTTCTTTAATCGAAAACAATCTTTCGGCTTGAGTTCAATTTACCGAAAAAAAATTCGTATTTTTATTATTTTTCTGAAAAAGATTCTTGTTTCTTTTTTCTTCTTTATTAAGGTTATATATTGATCGATAATTAGGGTAATTCGATGTATACATTAGCATTTTATGAAGCTCTCGATTACTAAATTATTAGCTTTAATAAAATGCAGTGCGGTTTGTGTTGCTTTCATGAGAATTTCTATCCGATATGGCTAATAAATGTGGCACTAAATCACTCGGAAGACTGCGTGTCTTATTAAATGTAGCTAATGCGCGTGATATATGTGTACCGATAGGAAACTCATTTTATTGACTCCTTTAAAACTGTTATGATAAATTTGACCGCGACCATCTGGAAGCCTGCGCAGTTGCATTTAAATTTCTTCCGCTTTGAAATATCATTACTTTAAAATTATTTCTGCATTACGTTATGTTTCCGTACGTAGCACATAGTTAATAATAATGTTATTAATAAACATTAGCTGTTAGTAGCTAATGTTTATTAATAACTTTTGCGTACAGAAAAAGCGTTCAATAATTATTATTAGTTAATGTTTCTTGTGGTTCTCAAAATATTTATATTACTAAGGGTAAGTAAATATCCATGATTAATATTAGAATCTAAAGTAACATGAATTCATAAAACAGTCTATTTAAAATTTAAATTAAAATTGATTTTTAGAATAAATTCTTATCTCCGTAGCGTTTTATGCAATTGTTGACTATGTCACCAGAAATTAGAAATGTGTAATTTTATTAAAAATAAGTGTAGAAAGGCTATGAATCAAAAAACAACAAAGTAAATATGTAAATATAAGAAACAAATATAATTATCATGATCTAAAGCAAATAACAAATAACAGACGTCGTTTCGAGCCCATCTTCAATGTTACATATAAACATAGTTAAGTAGAAAAGATAAACTGAAATAATATACTTAAATTAAACGAATCAATAAAATAATACAAAAAAATAAGTAGCTATCTTTTCTGTTTAATTATGTTTATATGTAACATTGAAGATGACCCGAAACGGACTCGAAACGACGTCTGTTATTTGTTATTTGCTTTAGATCATGATAATTATATTTGATTCTATTTACATATTTACTTTGATGTTTTTTTATTCATAGCCTTTCCATACATTTATTCTTAATTTGTATTATTGAACCATGTTATATGATTATCTTTTCCTTAAAAACATCATTCAAGTTTTTGTTATAAAGTGCAAATTTACTTTAAATCATAGCGAAAAAGATAAAGAAAATAATACGCGAAAAGTACGTTCTCTGATTTCAAAAGGATTTTAACTGTAATTAAAAATTTAAGCTTAAAATTGTATTCTAGAACAACTTCTTATCTTTATCATATTTATATTTTGTGCAATGTGTCACTTATGTAAAAAACGTATGCTCGAACC